TTGTGCTTTAGAAAATAAACCAGTTCTTAACTTATAGACTAGGAAGCATCTTGCACGGTGAAAGGAGAAAATAATTCAATACTGCCTACTGTGGGGTGGCAGGGTGTCCATTTGTCTTGGAGCATTTAGTACTGGATAGTGTTAGAGGCAGGGTACTGGATTTTATGAACCATTCTTCTAATCAGATGTGGTACTTCCTACATACTGACTTATATTGCTGGACTGGGACTGCTGGCACTACATAAAGACAGGAAACTCAAATGAAAACCTAAATTTAAGATGCATATTTAGGCCCACCATCACAGCCGGTATAAATCAACATCGTTCCACAGAAGTGACGTGAGTAGAGTAACAAAGGCAGTAGATCTGTGCTGATTTAAATCCTTAAAATCAAAGTACATTATGTATCAGCGTAATAAAGGGGAAAAGCTGTGATTTTCAATAGCTGCCAAATATAAAGTGAACAGGAGTAATATCTGCTTTGTTACAGTATATTCTCCTCATCCAAAAACCCCTTTGCCCAAATGTTTGTGCATCACTAATGTCTTTTTAAATTATTCCAATGTTTCTTCCTTTCTCATTCCCCAGTGGTTTTCTCTAGTAAACTGAATTATTTGAAAGTATTGATATTAAAATAAAATGAATAAAAAGACGCTGAGAAGGCTCATCATTGTCCCCGAAAATGAATTCTTCCTGTGCTTTTTACTGCTAATAACGGGACTGCTCAGTAGCACATGTCCCCTGTGAACAATCTCTCTCAATTTTAGTAATGAATTTGTTATTAGAGTAATCAGTCATTCACATGAAATTACGCACCATTTTAAAATCCAAAAAACCAGCTTCCCAAGATATTACCATGCAATCCATGTACTTTAACAGCACTGTGACCTGGCTTAGCTTAATTAACAGTTGCTTATATTGGCCCAGTACTTAAATAAGCGTGGGTGACAGACTCCCAGATAGGCAGAAGTTCCACATGTTGCCTTGCGCTTAATTCGGTTATTGTTTAATGTAATCACACTTTGATTCTCCATTTAATTTAATTAAACCCTCAAGATTGGTTTAAAAATGCAACACAATCTTTCACTCTCTATTTCTATTAATTTCCTTCACTTTTAGCATGTTATTGGGTAATTCAATCACTGGCTAAAGCTGGCATTTAAATAATAAGGAAATGTCAAGTTCTCAAGTGGACTGGAAGGGTCAGGAGAATGGAGGGAGGAACCCAAAGATGCATCCATAATGTTTCTGCAGGAGATAGCAGAAATCAAAGACTGTTCTAAGGTGGACCAAAGAAGGTCTGGAAAGACTTCCATATGAGAAGAGGTTAAAAGGTTTGGGACCAGGAGAGGGCACGTTAGACCTGTGGAAAGCAGTGCTTTGGCACGGAGAAGGTATTTGTGGATTACAAGAAATAGCAAGAAAGGAGGTAGTTTTCAAGTTAATTTCATGTGGATGAAATGAATTGGGCGCGTTGTATTTTTATTATGTTTTTAAGCTGAGTCTGAAGTCAGCCTGTGGAAGTCTCCGCCACAAGAGAACAAAGGGCGCCTATACACGACCACAGAGCCTGCTCTGATGCGCTCCAGCAGCCTCCTGCGTCTCGGCTCTCAGCGTCCCCACACTTGAAAATGGTGGTGGGGGTACCTGAATTAAAGCTTGTCGTGTGACCTTTAGCTCAAGCATCGCCACCACCATTTTTAAGGATGGGGATGTCAATACATGAGATGAAGAGCTGCTTTAATTAAAGTGCCACCCCGCCTCCAACCCCAGAGCAAGTGTAAAAGTGCCCAAAGGGGCCAAGAGCTTAGCTTGATTTCAAAAAGGGTTCGACCTTCATGTAGACAGTGAGGACTTGTGCTGTTTTATATAAACCAAAGTAAACTGGGTGTATATGGGTTATGCAGCCATAACCAACCACTTACGGCGTAGATGCAGGGAAAAAATAGCTTTTATGAGAATCAAGGCCATTTTGTTTTCTTTACTTGTCACCATCTCCCTTTACAGAGACCTCGAACATCTCTTGAGTTTGGTTTTTCAGTTTTTGTCAAGAAGCTAAACTGTGTAGCATAAACTGTAATTGGAATAAAAAGAAAGAACCGCTGCAAAAAGCGTGCAACGCTTATACACGAGGGAAAGAACCCGGGGCCTGATTCAGTAAAGTTGTTTAGGTACATATCTAATGTTTGAACCACATGAGTAATCCCACTGATGTCCCTGAGACTACTGATCATGATTGGATTGGACCAGGTTTTAAGCATTTCGTTGAATCAGGACCTTGCAACCTACAGTAGTCTGGTCTCATCATTTATTATCTACTCCACGATCCCTTCAGTCTTAAAAAACTGCCCATTCACCAGGTCTCCGACACTAGGAATAGACTGATTTGATTCATCATCCCAGTACATGTGTTCAATGGGTAGCGTTCCTTACACAAAATGGACGGTGCCCAGTATTTCGGCATACTCGTATTCTTTGTTGGTGTCATTGGGAGCCCTGAGTACACAGCATTTCTGACAATCAGGCCCTAATGTGTCATTTTAATTTCATTTCTGAGAGGGACAGTGAGGTGATTAAATACTCTTAATTGATAACACTTTCGGAATCGCCACGTGTTCATTAGCCTTTGACGAATAAAGGCTGGTTGTTGTTCTTTCATTTGCTTTGCACCTGCTAATGAAATAACACTACGGGTCACATCACATTTATTTTTATGGTGGGGGAGGAAGGGTGTTGTTGAGTCTTGTCTGATCTTACCTAAGCAAGCAGCCTTCTGCTTATAAGTTATTGCCTAAACGGTATAAAAAAGACTAGTTTTTGTGTTGCAATGCCCTCTACAGGATGAAACGGTGACATCGGGGGCTATACTGGCATCTTGCCTATATCTCAGGGCTGAGGCTTGTTCCTCACGCACATCTGTAGCATTTTTCTTTTGCTAAAAATGAATGCACATGGCTCGAGTGTTTGCTGGGTCTTGCCAGCCTTGAAAGTTGAATAGAAATTGGCTGAGTGCATTTTCGTTGGCAAAACCTGAAAACATCTGCTCCTTCTAAACTCTGTGCTCTCCTAGTAGTTGCGGAGAGGAGGTAGCCATGCCTGACCCCTGCTTTAGCAGCTTCTTAGCATGATAAACTTCTCTGAATTGGACATTAAATTAACACAGCGGAATACAAGAAATATGCACAAACTCATAATCATTGAGATACTTTTACTTTGGGTTTCTGTCCAACCACGGGGCTATTTATGGTAGATTTAATACTGTGCTTTAATTAGAGATGTACTGAATGTGCTATTGTGCTAATGTACTTTAACTGCTTTAAAGGGTTTCAAAAAGCTTTGGGTTTCATGTGCCTTTTTGCAGAGCAGAGTAGAGCCTTCGAGGCCCATCCTTTTTCGACGATAAAAGCGCTGGTGGTATAAATGGGAGTAAATTCAAGCTGTTTTCTCTGGCCCCTTTGCAAAGGGACCTCAGTGCGGATGAGAATCTAATCCCTAGAGTCAAGCTTTAAGGCAGGGAGTTGCAGAAGTCAGGATTGCTCAGGAGTGGCTCTTACACCCACATGTTGAGGTATAGCTCCCTTTAGCAAAGTGATTGAGGGGAGCCAAGTCCTTCCCAGTTGCACCCGCCATCAGCACCAATAAAAGTTTGACATCCCCTCACCCTCATGGGAGGGTGAGAAGCAGAATTCAATTTGATCCATTCATCCTCATCCATTTCTTGTGGTTGCTCCACAGGGAGCACTATAGTATATCCTCAAGCGTGGGCTTTGCTATCCCTTGTAAACCCAGGTTTCCACTGCGTTCTGTATCTGTCTTGTCACCAGCTTTCTTTGGGACACCCACCGTGGCCACTGGGGTTGTTTTCTCTATAAATAAAATTAAAGTTGGGTCAAAGAAATCAGAGCATGTTGGAAGCTATTCTCTGCATAATTAAATGACAGAACTTAAACTGTTGCATTAAATGCGCTTGTTCCTGCAGGTATGGGACTGAAACTGCATGTGGCCATCAGACCTCCCTGCAGTAACTGGATTAACCCGGTCTCTTGCTTTTCCTACACCACAGCCCTTCCTTACTGCTTGTTATGCGGTAGGGAACAGCTGTTTCAGCCCCCTTGCTTTGCGGCACAGGGGTGGCTTCTTAATTGTGATAATGTATTTAGCAGGTATCTCAAGTAAAATTCCACTCCTTGGGGAGCTTGGCTCATTTTTCCCCTCCCTCTTCTCCTCCTTTGCTGCCGGTTGCTCCTGAGACTTGATGCCACTTTGAAATTTCCAGAGGAAACACCAGCCTGCAACACTGATCTGTGTCTCAGAGGCGCAGCCTGGGTGAGCTGTAATCGGTCATAATCATTTTCTGTGCACATGAGTGCTTCTCCTTGACAGTTCTTTCCTATTTTATTTTAATGTGCTTGGGAGAGTCTAATCGCTTGCACGAGAACAGGTGGAAGGGAGGTAAGTACAGCATTTGAAAAGACCACCTCGTGCTCAGCTTTCTGATGAATATAGCCTAAGGGCTGTATTCAGAAGGGAAAGGGAGCTTAGTCTTGTGGATGGGACAAGAGACCCTGCGCGACCTGCTGTGTGATGTTCCAGTTGCATCATCTGGAGGGACTGCAGTTTCCCCTTCTGTAAAATGGGGCTACTGGTATTTTGCCCTCCTTTTTTGAAGTGCTTTGAGACCCATGGGTTCAACTTTAAAGTACTAGAATTGCTCCATAAATTTGCTGATAATTGTTAAAGGGAACAAAACCAAAATATATGTCTGGCTAACTGGGCTCACGTACAAGGTTTGTATCTGGACGCTACCTTTCTCATAGCTCAGGATGAGACAGCAGTCAGCTCTGTTCTCTAGCTAGATATGGTCTGGTCCCTCCCTCATGTCTACACAGGCTGCTAGAAGAGTCCTGGGTTTGGGGCATCACGACAGGAACTGAACTGGTCTCTAGTTTAAAGATTGAGACCAATGGAACTGGACAATGAACAAAACTTTTGTTCTCTAGGTCCTCCCGCTCCACCTCAAGATGTTACTGTACAGGCAGGTCCCACCCCCGCAACTATACAGGTCTCCTGGAAACCACCGACTTTGACATCAACAGGAACCTCCAATGGAGCAAATGTTACTGGCTATGGTGTTTATGCAAAAGGTCAACGGGTGAGTTCTCCTGACTTTATTACAGTGACCGGTGGCTCTAGATGTGCAGTTCACCCAACAGCAGAAGAATATAATGGACTTCAGTGTTCACCTGGATTTCATTTCAGCTGTTTTGTCATGTTGCTGATGGTCCTGTGCATTGATAGCTGTGAAAGTCCCTCTTTATAAGCTAATCAGCAACACTTAATTACTCAGACAAGCCTAGCTGAAGTATTACAGGTGATTGGGGTAAATCGATGAAGACCCGCTGTGCTTACTCTTTACAACGGGCAACAATTTGCCAGCATTGATGAATGCTTTCCAGGCTGCACAGTGGGAGGAGATGTGTTTTCCCAGTTTTAACTTGGATGTTTGTGCGTTTAGGTGGCAGAGGTGATTTTTCCAGCAGCAGAGAACACGACTGTGGAGCTAATGAGAATACGGAGCTTAGACGCTCGGGACGTCACTGTAAGAACACTTTCTGCCCAGGGGGAATCTGCGGACTCTTCCATTGCTGCCATTTCACCTGACCTACTGGTGCCTCCAACCCCTCACCCTAGAACTGCTCCCAAATCTAAGCCATTAGCAAGTGCCGGAGCCCCAAATACCAAAGATGAACATTTAGGTCCGCATTTAAAAATGGATGAGTCATGGGAACAGACTCATTCGGCATCTCCTATTCATGGACACACGCTGGAGCCTCCTGCCCCCAACTTTCATGGCCCGCTTCAAGGAAGGAGGTCTCCCTCACCTAATCGAATACTCCCTCAGCCACAAGGCACACCTGTCCCGAATACTGTCGCTAAAGCCATGGCAAGAGAAGCTGCACAACGAGTTGCAGAGAGCAACAGGGTAAGAACAAACTTTTTCTTATGTGTTCACAGCCATGTAGCTTACCTTAGGAATCAATTTGGAGGAGAAGAAAGCATTCTAAAGCACTAGGTCACCCCTTTGTATCAAGAATCAATTGTCTATTAGTGCTTAGAGGAGTTAATAAATGCTTAATAGATGCTTTATGTAGTTATCTGTCAGAGTGCAGAAGATCAATAGGCTGTTAATAACCATAACATTCAATCCTTTGTGACATCATCTACTATATCAGATGGCCGTTAGGGCTGTGTGAAGCCTCAGGTGCTAATACGATTCAGAGGAGAATTGGCCCGATAAGGCAGCCAAATCTCCACATCCAAATTGAATCAGGAGGCCAATAAAAAGGTCCAAATCAATTCAAAGCTCTCTGAATTGATTTGGAAAAGATTTGGAGAGCTTCAGAGATTCGGGCAGTCCCCCCTCGCCACCACAGGGAGCTGGACCTGGACTCCATGCTAGTAAGTAGGGGGCAGTGGGGGGGAGGGCTGGAGGAGGGAGCAACAGGACCATGGGGGAACCCCCGCCAGGCCCTATCCTCCACCTGGTCTCCCAGCCCCCAACATAGCTGTTCCCCTCCCCCCCCCATGGCTGCACTGCCCAGCCCCAGCTCCTGGTTCTTTAAAAAAAAGAAAAGCCCCGCACTCACTGGCTGGCTTCCATCAGGGCTTCTTGTCGCAGCGACCCCCATACAGCGTGGGGCAGCGGGGTGCAACAAGGATCGCCCCTGCCTGGCAGCAGGTGGTGAATGCAGGGCTTTTTTTTTTTTTTTTTTTTTTTTTTATAAAGGGCCAGACAGGGCAGCCATTGAGTGGGCTGGGGGAGCAGGCAAGGGATGGGGCTGGTTTGATTTGGAGATTCAGCCGATTTGGCGGCAGCTGAATCTTGGAATCAGATTCAGCCAAATTGATTCGGGACAGTGATTCAAATCACCAAATCAAATCACTGTCCCCCATATCTGAATCCGAAGTGAATACTAGCCGCTTTGCACAGGCCTAATAACCGTTTGTCAGTAATATGCTTACAGCTTGTATTAAACCTTTTATAAGTTGTCTATAAATACATGTTCAAAGGAATACTCTTCCTGTAAAGTACAGAGAGATTGTCATGTGTTTTTCTTTACTCTCTGACTACTAACCCCATCAATGATAAATGGAAAGAATATTTTCATCTTAATATATATTTGTTATATACAGCAAAAGCCACCTTATCCGGCACCTTAGAAACTGGCATGCTGTATTAACTGGCATGCAAGTCAACGCAGCAAAAGCAAAACTGGAAGTGCCCACCATGGCACTTCTGGTTTCACTGAGTCCCCATGGCCCGGGGCAAAGCAGCCTGTGGTGCTGAGCCCCCACGGCCCGGGGCAAAGCAGCCTGTCCCCAGTGTGCCCGGGGTCCCCCTCCCTGTCCCCCAGCACACTGACGCAGCAGGAGGGGCGGTGGCCAGAACAGGCAAAGATGCCTGTTCGGGCCCCTCAGGTAACCGGCATATTTGGTTATCCGGCACCCCCCATTTCCTATGGGTGCCAGATAACAAAGCTCTTGCTGTATACTATGTGTTGCTATTTATTAATTTAAGCACTTGTGTAAACTTCCCACACTCTGCCATTTCAGTGCCTTACCGCCAGTGAAATAGTTGATTACAAAGCATTATCCCTTCAGCATCAAGGCTTGGGAACAGTCTTCTGACCAGTAGCAACAACGATGTCAATGGAAAGTTTGGCCCAAAGAGCTGTGAGACATTAGGGTTTCGGAGCTCCCTAGCAATGGGACCGGCAGCTCACCAGAGGGTGGATCTCATCTTTCTGTGCAGCCTTTAGATACAGAGGCCCTGATTCTAAATGAAAAATCTGTTTCAGATTATTTTATGTTGAGGGACCAATTGCAAGAGAAATGTGGTTGAATGCAGCCTCAAGGATGGAGTATAGCACAAGGTAGTGCCTTAGAGGCCATATTACATGCCTGGAAGTGTAATGCTGACACATGTAAGGTTTGCTATATCATTACTGACACACAAGGTCACATCCAGATGTGAAGATATAGGTGGTACAGAGCATTGTATATTTGTATTAGTGGATGCTCACTATCCTGGAAGAAAGGACAGCAGATTTTTTTCATTAAGCTCCTACCTTAGTTGTGGATCTTAGGCTGTATTGGCCTTTTTGCAATATTTTACCCCCAAAAGGTCTAAATAAATATGGTGACCAAATACCCGTGCAAAGAAAGCCACATGGAGTGAAAGGAGATTGTTTCCCCTGAAGCTTTTGCTTTGCCCTTAAATTAATGTCTGCATTGCTCTGACCGTGAGGATGAGACAATCCAAGAGTAGTCCCCCAGAACGATATTCCTAAAACCATTTGATGATTTTCTAGTTCCAAGATGGGGAAGCTAGCAAAATCTCCAGCTTCTAAAATGCCATTTGATACTCAGCATCATTAGTTTCTCATAGTATTAATATCCTTGCTTGAAATTCCCTGATTAAATTTAGCTATTAGCAGATGGACGTGCTCCACTTATGTATAATGGTACATGACTATAGTCTTGTGCTTTATTTACCACTAAAACTCTACTGGGAAAAAGGTCATGGGAGTGCTGGTGTATTATGACTTACATTTTCTCTAGTGGTGTCTTTATTTGGATGAACATTGTATAGAATGATATGATATTGCATCTTTGGGGTGCTCTGAACTCAAAAGTGCATTGCACAGTTAAATGCGGCAGACTGTTAAAACAATGTTGAACAGCGGGAGAATAAGATTGAGAGGGGTATAGATGAAGGAAAACTGATACAGGATTATAAAGATGATTTCAAATGCTATAGAAAGTCATTGAAAGGGGAAGCTTACCCAAAGAGACTGTTCCCCATAGCAGGAATTGCAGAGAAAGATGTGAGCTCAACAGAGGTGAAGAGACAGGGGAGGCACTTGGGAGAGATGGGTGGACTGACTGGGGAAAGGGTGAGAGAGAAGTTCCCTGATGTAAGAAAGAACAAGGACTAGAGGCCTTGATTCTGCAAATCTTCATCCTGGCTTGCTTGTTGAAACACAAGCGTGCGTCTCTTATCTGACTGATAGGGCCCTTGGGCTTACAAGAATGAGATCCAGTCCTAAGTTTCTTAGCTATAAAAAAAAAAAAAAAAAAAAAAAAAA